CAGAACCTTTTTTTCCTCCGGTTTCCCTGCCTTCTCCTCCGTCTGTGTGTTTCAGAAATTCCCCAGTGTCCGATCGCCACGCCGTGCGATCTGAAGGCGTGCTTCGGACTGATAGCTCCACGCGCGTGAGGAGGAATCCGCGAGTGAAAAGCGCAATGGCTGCTGCATGCAGTAGCAGCAAGAGGAGGAGCACCGCCGGGAGTGAGATTGGTGAGGTGCGATGGAGAGAGGCGGGAAGGGATGCCATGCTGGTTGCTGGTGCGGATGGAAATGAGGGACACGAAGGACAGGGTGCGTCCGGGAAAACACGGACTATCTGCGAAGGAGAGGTGGAGTCGCGAGTAAATGGCCGTGCCAAAAGAGTTTCATGTTCGGTGAGTTCTTCGTGAAGGTAGTGCGCATAAAGAGAGATTGTGCTGGGTCCTGGTCAGATCGACAATCAAGGAAGTAGAACTAGGAGGGAACTGAGATTATTCTCCGAGTTCTGACAAACGGGGGGGAGGTGGGAATCTGACATCCTCCAAAATTCAAATGACTCCACGATTGGTTGGATGGAAGGTCAGCAGCAGCCGCAGCAACATCGATTCTCTTTATAATTCACCTACAACACCTCATTAGTGGAACAAGAAACACTTGTTTCACATGCATCAGTTGCAAGAATATTGATAACCTACCTGGCTGAGAAAGATAAAAAAAATATTGATAACCTACACTGCCATTAACAGACTTATGCTACTTTCTAGAATGTGTACATAAATAAATCTAAATTTACAGAGATTAAAGTTATTCTACCGTGGTTACATATTGTATGAGATTTTTAGTGAGGAATATTTACTAAATACATTTGGTTAAGCAGTCAATTATTGCTACACTGTTTTAGTTATTTCAAAGCTGAGCGAGAGTTCTCTCAATATGGGATACTGGAGCCCTCGTGAAAGTGCCAGCAGCTTAGACGGAGAGTTCACACGGTTGTGTTCGATGTTGTGCAGTCTGGAGGGGTTTTCTCCCTTCAAGAGTTCGGATTGCCAGTGAGCAGCCTGAACATTCATTTGTGAACCAACTCTGGTGACTTGTTCACATTGCCCTTCAGCAAAGCACACCACCACCACTGCTAAATTCTTGTTTCCTAACTCTCGTTATGGCTCGTAAAAGTAAGAGGAAAGCACCTCCGAAGTCTGCAAAAAATACTGCGAAGAAGAGGGTGAAAAATGATGCTGAGATGCCAACGTCAGAAGCCATGCTCTTTGTTTCAAATCAAGATATGGCTAATGAGGCCGATAAACAACTCGAAGGACCGATTCCTGAGCTGTCTCGGACAGATGTTGAGGAAGTTCCTACGCTTGCCTGTCCGAAGATTGGCTCGCAACCTCGGGAGCACAACCAGAATGATGAAGATCCTCATCCACAGGTTCGACAATCTGCATTATCAAAGTTTCCTTCAAACTATCGATCTGAGTACGCATCACAATGCAGATCCCGTTAATCGCGGAACAAACGGGCTTGAAGGCCATTTTCCACGGGCTCGATGCTGAAACGAGACGATGCAGTCCAGATGATCAGACTCTCACGACACCTACTTGTGGAACGGATCGACCTTCCGTCGGCATTGATCAAGCTAAATTATTGCTTGCAGGCAATGCGAAGGAAACCCAGGTTCATGTCGTAAACGACAGCAATCAAGACATCCAGCGCGCCGACGATGTGCTTTCCGCTGCTGAGACTCGAGAGGAACATGATCAAAACGCTGGCACTACATCCGCTGAAGTGAAGGATGTAACCGACAATCAAGCCGAGCCTCCTGCTGAGAAGGTAAGGACCAGTATTACAAGTTATGGCTATCACAACTATACTCTCTGACGCTTTTCGCTGCGAAATCAGATCAGTACAGACGTCCCAGACGGAGGCGATGGGGTTCTTTCTGTTGTTCAGACGGGAAGCGGCGAGAGTGACCAGAGCAATGATCAAAGGATACTCGACGCAGACAAGGATGCAAGCAACAATCTTATTGAGCCGTCCTCTGTCGAGGTCAGAACCGACTGTAAGAGTTTTGTCACCACAACAACCTTTGCTGACGCTTTCCCTGTGAAACCAGAACAATGAAGACGTTCAGGACCTTGACGATGATGTGCTTTCTGCTATTGAGATTGGAAGGGATGAGTGCTGTCAAGGCAGTGTTATGGGTACACATATTGACGACAATCATGCGAACATCAGTCAACTCCAGGTGTCAACTAAGGTGGGTAACAAATTCGAGGGTATTGACCCACCCCGATTATATTTGCTGAATCATTATCCCCAATATAGCAGACTCCACAAGAAGTCGTGCATTCTGGAAGCGCGTCAGATCCCGAAATTCGAAAAAACTCCATTTGCTTTGGCGAGAATGCAGCAGGCGAGCCTGCTAACGATCGATATTCCATAACAGCTCCGATTGAGGCTAAACTTTGTGTTCCAAGAAACGAGGTCATTGGCACTGAATTTCCCGAGAGTGCTCCTGATCATGAAGATGGCAAGTGCACTGTCTTTCTATCGCCTGAGAAGCCTCTCTCAGAGGCTAAACCCTCAGACAGAAGTGATGAGAGCTCTATTTTTGAAGAGTTGCTCGTTGATGACCTTGAGGACTTGAAACCTGACACGGTTGTTTATAACAAGGACGACTACGAAGACGCAGCCATGGTTCCTCATACAAATACAAGCACAAGAGAAGTTGCTTTCTCTATGCCGGATGAGGGTAACCAGTCTCATGCAGAAAAGGTGAGCTTTTTTGTCTGTCATTTGCTTTCAAACACCTCGAACCGTTGTAAAAAAGGTCAGCTTTCAGACATTGGGACTACCTTCGTCTACTGCATCCAAGAAGCAAGAGGAGAAGGGTACTCAGAAATTCTCCAAAATCTTCGATCCATCACAACCCAGTGGATGTGATGGTACCACGAGTGAAACAAGTGAGCTCTAGTTTACTGTGTTTTGTAAATGACGTTCTTGTCGTTTTGTTGCTGAATTTCTGTACCGTTTTACAGGCAAACTTGACTCTAGTTTCTTAAGCCTCGGGAGTGAACAAGAGGCCTTTGATCGGCTTGTCAGAGCATCTCAAGACAACCATTTCGAAGCTGCCAAGGCATCTAGTTCTGTGGTTGCCCCATTCGAAGAAGCTTCTGTTCAGGGAAATGAACAACTTGGGAGTCAAGTTGACAGAATTGGTGCTAAGTATGCAGAGACTGGTGCTGTTCCTAGTGAATGCCATGAGCTTCAACCACCTCGACAACCCTCTATCCAAGAGTGCAACCTTGTGGAACATGCTGGTATGCATAATGTCATCATCGAGTGCATCACAGTCACTTTTTGTTATGAGAGCTCATTCCAGTGCTTGTGGCAGGGTTGCTCCAAGAGGACAGTCCTGCAAACATGTGTGGAACGTCAGTGACCTGCAATGAAACAAAGGTATGTAAACCTGTGGCATCAGCTCTGTATTCAGACCTCTCACTCGTGTGACTATGATAAGTGACATCAGTGGGCAGTTATATGAGCAGGAAATGGGCTCACGTGAGCAAGGTCATACCCTGAACCCCATGAACGGGCAGTTTCAAGGTAAGTTTGTTTGAGTTCAGATCACCAGCATGTGTTTTTTTCATGCTTTTCAGCAAAGCCCAACTCTCTTTTTCCGTCACAACAGATGTGATGGGAAATCAAGAGGGACCCATGCTGCCAGAGGCCCCGGAAGTAACATCTTTGGTGGCTGAATTGTCTGAACTCCGACACAAAGTTGTGGAGCTGACACAACAAAACGACAGCCAATCTCATCGTCTACTGAAGGCTGAGAACGCATATCATGAGGTTGCAACGTTGAAACAAGAGAATGCGAGACTCTTGAAGACCCTGCACAAGAGTGAACGGGTGCACCAAGAGGTTTTTGCTTTGCAGCAGCAGGTCACTAACCTTTCTAACCAGCTGCGCCAGGCAGAAACAGTATACCACGATGCTGAAGCACTGAGGAAGCAGAATGCAAGCATGTCATCTCAGTTGTTGCGCCTTGAAGGTTCACAGCGTGAGGTTGCACTTCTCAAGCAACAGATTGTGGGTCTCTCTTCTAAAGTGCAGGGTTACGAGCGAGTGCAGCATGAAGCAGCATCCTTGAAGCATCAGAATGCTGAAATGTCAAAGAAGCTTCTCGAGCTGGAAACTGCAAATGGTCGTCTCTCATGCGAACTGTTTGATGTCCAGGTAGGATATTGTTACTTGTGCTCACCGCAAGTGCTCTTAAACCTTTTTCAACTTTGCATTGATGGACCTGATGTGCAGGTGGAGTGCGCTCAATGGAAGGAACAGACTCAGAGGTTGAACAATGCAGAATGGTAAGGAAAAATCGCCTCTTGTGAAAGGTGTTGGAATGCTCAATATAATAATGCACCTTGTTTCCTTTTTGCCCGTTCAGGTCAAGGCGTCCACCACAGTGCTACCGGAGGAGCGAGTATTAAATGGATACTATCGTACGACATGGATTTGAGCAGCTTTTTATTTTTCTTGATGCAAATCAGAGAGACTCATACAGCTTGTGTTGTAGGGAAATAATATCATACTAGTTAAGATGGATGCACCCCAGGTTTCTTCAACTTGCATGTGCGCCTTCAGTCTTCAAAACCAATGCAGATTACTGTAGATAGAAATTAAGAATAAGTAGGAGTTACATTTGTTACTTGCTTGTTACAGATTCTTACGAGAAGGTTGTCAGCCACCTGTGCCGTGTTTGAGCTCCTACGATCGGCCCTGGCTCTTCTAGACACCTCAAGCACTGGCCGGAATTTTGTCGATCTCTCTGGCATCTGCTTATTTCGTTCTGTTAGAAAATTCCTACCAAGCAGTGGAGTCGAGTGTCTTTGCCCGACTTCTAGCAAGAATGTCGTCGAATGTTCTCCATCTTGTTCTTGTCTTTCGCCGTTCCTCGTCCCCGTGAACCCGAGCCGTCCACAATCTCTTCTCTCTACTCCTCGAGCAACTCTGCCTGCATGGTTCTAGGATGCATCTTTTCCGCGAACCACCTCACGCCCTTCCAACATCTTTAGGAGGGCGAGATATTCCACTGGACAATCCAATTACCCTCAGTAGATCTTCGATCAATCCCAGTAATCCCGACGCAGTGCAGACCCATGCCAACTGGAGTTTCAGACATCGCAAGCACGACCAACGCGACGGCCTCCTTTTTAATCACAACCTTTCCCTGCTGCTCCTCCTCCTCTTACTCGTGGTAGCCTGCCTGAGTGCGCCTGCTGCGGCCTTGTCCTGTGGGTCCACCTTGGAGTGCAAGAATGGCGGTGTGTGCGTCAGGAACCGAACTGGCGACGACGTTTGCGACTGTCCAAACCCTCGTTCCGCTCTGGAACCCGAATTCTTCGTGTACGCTCTCACGTGACCCCTTCCCTCCCCAAGCCTCCCCCCTCTTCCCCCTTTCCCCCCGCCCTCTTTACCCCACTCTTCCCCCTTCCCACGCATTTGTCATTTTCAACTGTTGTCCAATCCCAAGCTTTTCTCTCATGCGCGTGGTTCCTAGCCGTTGACCCTCTACCCCTTTTCCTCCCCTTCCCTTCCTACCCCCCCCCTCCCCCCCCCACCTCTCCCTCCCCTTCGCTCCTTCACTCCCTTCACTCCCCGTTCCCCCCTCCCCCTCCCTCTTCCTTTCCCTTCCCCCCACATCCCCCGTCTCCCTGCCACCGGCAGCGGCACGGAGTGTGAGGTGCCAGCGGTCATGTGTGCGGACACAGACACCTTCTTCTGTGGCAACGGCGCGCAGTGCGTGGAGATAGTGCAGGGCGAGCAGTACTCCTGTGAGGGCTGCCCACAGGGGTACGGAGGGCAGCACTGCGAGTCCCACGGGGTGCAGTGCGGTGACTCTGGGTTGCTGTGCTTCAACGGGGGGTCGTGCGGTCACAGCGGGACCAGCTGCGTGTGTCCCAGACAGTGGTCTGGAAACGCCAATTGCACGCTCTCCCTCTTTGACGGTGCGCTGTGAGGAGAACCAGAGCATGTGTGATTCACAGGGAAGGGCGGAGATGGAGGGATGGGAAGAGAAAACGGGGGAGAAGGGGGGCAAGCTGCGTGTGCCCCATCCATACCATTACATCGCATCGCATCGCATCACATCACATCACATCACATCACATCACATCACATCACGTCACGTCACGTCACGTCACGTCACGTCACGTCACGTCACGTCACGTCACGTCACGTCACGTCACATCACCTCACGTCACGTCACCTCCCGTCGCGTCGCGTCCCATCCCATCCCATCCCATCCCATCCCATCCCATCCCATCCCATCCCATCCCATCCCATCCCATCCCATCCCATCCCATCCCATCCCATCCCATCCCATCCCATCCCCATCCCCATCCCACCTTCCCTTTCACCACCCCGACACTGATCCTTGCCCTTTCCCCCTCCCTCTCCTCCTCCCGTCTTGGTTTCATATCCTGTGTGCGGTCACATGAACCCACCAGCCTACCACCAGCAGGCATCACCGTATGGCTCCCAGGCAGAGGAGGAGGACCAATCGGTGAGCACCTCTCACTCCCGCCCCTGCCCTTCCTGCCCCCGTCCCTCCTGCCCCTGCCCTTTCTGCCCCTCTCCCTCCTGCCCTTCTCCCTCCCACCTCTTCTCCGTGTGCATATCCATATCTCATTGCCCTCTCATGTCTCTGTTGTATACCAACTCCTTGCCCTTACCACTTTTCCGCTCGCTCTTCTTCAATCCCCTCCATTTCTCCCTCACCCCAGTGGTACGTGCCTGTGCTGGGCGCCTTTGGTGTGCCAGTGGTGCTGTCCTTTCCCTCCTCGCCCTCCATCCATCAATTCTACTTCAATCCCCTCCATTTCTCCTTCCCTCACCCCAGTGGTACGTGCCTGTGCTGGGCGCCTTTGGTGCGCTGGTGATGCTGTCGATCCTGGGCGTGTGGATCTACATCTGCTATGCGCACCAGGCCATGTCCTCCTTCTCGCACATTGCCGACCAGGTAGGGCATTGAGAGGGAGGCAGGGGTAGGTAGGGACACAGGGGGAGGGCACGGCAGGCGAGGGAAGGCATGAGGGGAGGGGCAAGGAGGCTGGTGATGCTGTCGATCCTGGGCGTGTGGATCTACATCTGCTACGCCCACCAGGCCATGTCCTCCTTCTCGCACATTGCTGATCAGGTAAAGAGTGGGGGGAGGCACGGAAGAGTTATGGGGAGAGGCATGGTGGAGGCACGCAGGGATGCATGGGGGGAGGCAGGGGGGAAGGCATGGGGAGGCAAACGGGGGAGGAACTGGGGGAAACGAAGGGTAGAGGCAAGGGGGGAGGTGAGGGGAGAATCAAGGCGAGTGTGAGTGGGGAGGCAAGTGGAGAGGTACAAGGGAGGGGAAGAGGCAAGCTGTAAAATATGAATGGGCAAGCGAAATTTGTGCAATCGTGACTTGTTGAATATTTACTTGGGGGAAGGTGGGGGGAGAGGAGAGAGCGATTGATATTTACTTTCTGCTTTCCGTCCTTCCTGTCCACATTTCTTCCCTTCCACATTTCTTCCCTTCTGCACCACTTCCCCCTGCCCCCCCATCTCCCCCACCCCTGTCCCCCCTTTCTCTCTGGCCTTTCCTGGAACCTGTCTAAACTACAGGAAGAAAGTCGGGCACTACAGGATGATGTGGAGGAGAGGGAGTTGGTCGAGCTAGACTCGCATGGGGACGAGGACGAGGGCAGGTACAGTGATGATGAGGATGGGGAGGCAGAGGGGGAGAGGAGGAGAGGGCGGCGAAGAAAACGGCACAGGCATTCCCGGCGCCGTGATTATAACGAGGATAACGGTGGCGGTAGTAGCGATGAAAATTATGATGATGAGGGTGGTGATCGTGATGGGGACGATGATGGTGATGATGATGACGGTGGTGGTGATGCATTGAATGGCCGCGGTCACGGAGGGTTTCGGGATTACCGTGATCGTCGTTCGGATAGGTATTATGATCGTGGTGGTGGAGGAAAGGGTGATGAGAAGGACGGTGATTCAATGGAAGAGGAGAGTGATGAGGACATTGAAGAGGGGGAGAGGGTCCCCTTGCGGTGAGAGATGCTCTGTTGTGATGCGATGTGATGCGATGCGATATGATATGATTTATGATATGATCTTACCGGTATTTGATAGATGGGTGCAATGCAATGTGATGTGAAGCACGTCGATGATAGGATGGCAGCTGCTGCTGCACTTTCTTCCAATCAGTGTCATGTTCATGAGATGAGAGAATTTTCACACACATCACATCACATGATTCATGGTGCACTTACCGTATGATGCAGCGCTAGCTCTGATTCTATGCACATCACAATGCATAGATGCGTACTGCGTTTTACACTGCCAGCTCAGCACCCTACAACACCTGAAGAGGTTAAGGATTGCTGACAAGGGTCCGTCCATCCATGGTGGTTGTACTTTCATTTCAAAAGAACATCTGCATGCATGTATGTACAGATTCGTGTGTGCAAGCAACAATGTACATGCATCAATATCGCGCCAGTGTCCCTCCCCCCCCACCCTCTCAATGTCTGAAGTCAGCGAACATGCAGGGCAAAGCACCACGTAAAAAAGGTGAAGCACAGTTGAAACATTTCAGAGGTGCCCGGCCACAGTGAGAGTGGCAGTGGCAGTGCCTAGGCCAGCAGCAACAGAAAACGAAGTCCCTTACAAGCTGGCTGTAGTGGTACTTGTCTCCCCTGACCTCGGGCACGTCACTAGCCCGTGCTGCGGCTTGTGAGACGCCTCCGAAGATGAAGCGTAAGCGAGGTGGGCTTTTGCTCAGAAGATGAAGGCCTTGACAAGCTGGCTGTAGTGGTACGTCTCCCCTGACCTGGGGCACGTCACTAACCTGTTGCTGCACCTTTTGAGGCACCTCAAAAGTCCTCAAAAGGCGCCTCAGAAGATGAAGGCCTTGACAAGCTGGCTGTAGTGGTAAGTCTCCCCTGACCTGGGGCACGTCACTAACCCATTGCTGCGCCGTGCCATGTCCTCCATTGCCTGCGGTGCATGGGATGGAACGGGATGGAATGGGATGGAATGGGATGGAACGGGATGGAATGGGATGGAATGAACTCAATCTTGAGTCACTCAACATGGAATCTGTTTTGTGATGGTGTGGTTAGGTGCGCGTGGGATGAATGGCCCAAGTGCCATGGCATTGCAGCTTCTGTATGGCATCCTATTTTTAAGGCGCCTAAAGAAAGACCCAAGTGCCACGGCCTAGCAGCCTGTGTATGGCATCCTCCCCCACCACCCTCACTCCTTCCTCCCTCACCTGCTTGCTGTGCACATAGCCAGTAGGCAGCACAAGTGGCGGGTTGTGATTCGGTAGTCCACGACTAGGCGGGAGATGCCCCTCAAGAACCCCCCTTCCCACTGACCTTCCTTCTATTCCCTACATATATCATACCTGCTTGCTTTACACATAGCCAGTAGGCAGCACAAGTGGCGGGTTGTGATTCGGTAGTCCACGACTAGGCGGGAGATGCCCCTCAAGAACCCCCCTTCCCACTGACCTTCCTTCTATTCCCTACATATATCATACCTGCTTGCTTTACACATAGCCAGTAGGCGGCACAGGTGGCGGGTTGTGATTCGGTAGTCCACGAGTAGGCGGGAGATGCCCCTCAAGAACCCCCCTTCCCACTGACCTTCCTTCTATTCCCTACACATGTCACACCTGCTTGCTGTACACATAGCCATTGGGCAGCACCAAGGGAGGGTTGTGGTAGTCCATGACTCGGTGGGAGATGGCCTTCTGGAATCCTTATCACCCTCCGTCTATCCTGCTCGTATACATAGAAACACCTCACCTGCTTGCTGTACACGTAGCCATTGGGCAGCACCAAGGGAGGGTTGTGGTAATCCATGACTCGGTGGGAGATGCCCCACAAGACCCCCCTCTCCCCACTCACCTCCCTTCTATCCCATACATAGAAACACCTCACCTGCTTGCTGTACACGTAGCCATTGGGCAGCACGAGGGGCGGGTTGTGGTAGTCCATGACTCGATGGGAGATGGACCACCAGTGGAAAAAGCCCCACCGGGTTTCGCACTCACCTTCCTTCCATTCCCTTTATACACCCCACCTGCTTGCTGTACACGTAGCCATTGGGAAGCACGAGGGGCGGGTTGTGGTAATCCATGACCCGGTGGGAGATGCGGCAGACGAGCTGGGAGTGGTTGCGCTTGGAGAGGGGCAGCGGCAGGGCGAGGTGGCGGAAGGAGGCGTGTGAGAGAGGGTCCGCCTTGGGACACCCGGGCTCGTAACTCAGCCTGGGTGGAGGGGCAGGGGGGAAGGCAGGGAGGGAGGGGAGGAAATGGGAGGGATGGCAGAGGGTTGAGGGAACTGGAGGAATGAGGTAGGGTATGGAGGGATGAGGAACTCTTGGGCCGGAGGGGACAGGCAAGGGGCCTTATAAGGCATGAGACAGAAGGGAGGCAGCAGACGAGCTGGGAGTGGTTGCGCTTGGAGAGGGGCAGCGGCAGGGCGAGGTGGCGGAAGGAGGCGTGTGAGAGAGGGTCCGCCTTGGGACACCCGGGCTCATAACTCAGCCTGGGGAAAGCACGGGCGGAACGCACGGGGGAGGGGCCGGGGGGGATGAAGGGGAAATGAGGGTACAGGAGGACTACGCACCCTTGGGTAAGGCAAGGTCCCTGATACCAAAAAGGGAAAAGGAGCCAGGAGGGGCAAGGCACGGGACAGAAAGGAGGCAGCAGGGCGAGGTGGCGGAAGGAGGCGTGGGAGAGAGGGTCCGCCTTGGGACACCCGGGCTCATAGCTCAGCCTGGGGGGAGGCAGGGGTTGTGGGGAGGCAGGGGTTGGGGGGAGGACGATGGTCGCAGGGAAATGAGGCAACCTTGAGAAGGAGGCGTGCGAGAGAGGGCCGGCCTTAAGATGCCCGGGCTCGTAGTTCAGACTGAGGGGAGGGAAGCACCGGGGGGAAAGGGGAAGGCAGGGGAGGAGAAGGGAAAATGAGGGCACAGGAGGGACGAGACACCTGGGCTTGTAGGTCAGACTGAGGGGAGGGGCACGGGGGGGGAAGGGGAGGAGAAGGGAAAATGAGGGCACAGGAGGGACAAGACACCCAGGCTCGTAGGTCAGACTGAGGGGTGGAGCACGGGTTGGGCGGGGAGGACGAGGGCAATGGTATGGCATGGCATGTCAGGAGCATATGGCATGGCAATGGCAGGAGCATATGGCATGGCAATGGCAGGAGCATATGGCATGGCAATGGCAGGAGCATATGGCATGGCAATGGCAGGAGCATATGGCATGGCAAATTGGCAATGGCAGGAGCATCTGGCATGGCAATGGCAGGAGCATATGGCATGGCAATGGCAGGAGCATATGGCATGGCAATGGCAGGAGCATCATGCACGAGACTCACGATTTTTAGAGCACAGACAGCCTGGCTTGCATGTAGATGTGCAGCAGAGGGGGGTGGGGCAGAGGTGGAAGGGAAGCGGGGGGAGTGGAGAGGGTGGGGCAGAGGAAAGAGGAGTTCAGCGTTCAAAGGAAGTGCAAACCAAGAGAGGGGGACTCACGGGGTTTTGAGCACGGAGAGCCCGGCTTGCATGTAGATGTGCAGCAGAGGCGGGTGGGGCAGGCCGTGCAGGTCACATGCAGTGCGGTGGAACAGTTGCTGTAGCGACTCCCACTGCGACTGGGCGAAGAGGGCCTGGCACGGGGAAGGAAGAGACGGAGGGAATATTTGAGGCGCCCAAAAGAATGGGGCAGGCCGTGCAGGTCACATCACATGCATTGCGGTGAAACAGTTGCTGTAGCGACTCCCACTGCGACTGGGCGAACAGGGCCTGCCGGAGGGACGGAGGAGAAGGGAGGGATCCTTTAGATGTCTCAAACAGTGGGGCAGGCCGTGCAGGTCGCAAGCAGTGCGGTGGAACAGTTGCTGCAGCGGAGTGGACAGGAGGGTAGGGGGGAGGAGAGGGGGGAGAGGAGAGGGGAGGAGAGGGGGGAGTGGAGAGGAGAGGAGAGGAGAGGGAAGAGCAGTGGAATGGCGTGTGATAGCTGCCGCTGCTGTTGGGACTAGGGAACCGAGGGCAGTGGAAGCGGTGCTGTAGCGAGTCCCACTGTTGCTGGGGGACATTGGGTGGAGGAGAGGAATGGCTCTTGAGTTTCCGACCAAAAGTGGAGGAACGGAACAAAATAAGAACACACCTGAAAGCCACTCTGGTACTTTCCTACCTTGTACTTGGGTTGGGGCATTGGATGGATGGAGGAGCATTTTATTCACGCGTAGCAGCGTCTGCGAGACTAACAAAAAGCACATCGAAAACAAGGCGACTCAAACTTAACTTGGAAAGCAAGCTGCTTCCTACCTTGTACTTGGGGCATTGGGTGGAGGAGCGGAGGGCGAGGGTGGCTAGTGCCTGCTGCAGCTGTGGCAGGTGCGACGCAGCGAAGGGGGCGAGGTGGGCGCGCGCATACCCTACTGCCTCCTTCAGCTGCCCCTGCCGCACCCTCTCTATAAACTCCTGCACTCGCAGCCGAAACTCCAGACCGCTCTGCGTGTGGGGGAAGGGGGAGTGGAGGGGAGCGGAAAGGTGTGGAAGAGGGCAGATTGAGCACCAGTAATTGCCCTTGCCGCACCCTCTCCATGACCTCCTGCACTCGCAGCCGGAACTCCAGGTCGCTCTGAGGGTGGGAGAGAGAGGGGGGACGATGGGAGTGAGGGTGGGTGAAGAGGTGAAAGGGGTAGAATGTGCAACCGCAGCTGCCCCTGCCGCACCGCACCCTCTCTATGAACTCCTGCACTCGCAGCCGGAACTCCAGGTCACTCTGAGTGTGGTCAAGGAGAGGGGGCGCGACAAAGAGGTAGGGACGAGGGATAAGGTGTGAAAGGGGGTTGAAAGTGCAGCCGCAACAGCTGTCCCTGCCGCACCCTCTCTATGACCTCCTGCACTCGCAGCCGAAACTCCAGGTCGCTCTGAGCGTGGGGGAGGAGGGAGGGCGCGGCAAAGTGGGAGGGACAAGGGATAAGATGTGAAAGGGGGTTGAAGCGCAGCAGTAGCTGCCCCTGCCGCACCCTCTCTATGACCTCCTGCACTCGCAGCCAGAACTCCAGGTCGCTCTGAGCGTGGGGGAGACGGAGGAGTGGGGAAGGGAGAGGGAGGATAGGGGAAAGGGCAGGTCCGCTTGTGAGGCGCCTTAGGCTAAGTAGCTGTACCCTGAGAGGCCTCCGTGTGAGAAGGCTAGTTTTGAGGCGCCTCAAAACTGTACCCTGAGAGGCCTCAGTGTGAGAAGGTGAGTGAGAGAGGACATTGAGGAACCAACCAAGTTGTATTGGTGCGACTTTTGAGAATTCTCAAAAGGCGCCTCAGTGTGAAAAGGTGAGTGAGAGAGAACATTGAGGAACCAACCAAGTTGTATCTTGAGGCGTTTAAGGCGGGAGCGGTGCAGCGAGCGAGCACCAGTGCAGGGCAGAGCAGGTCTGCTCGTGAAGAGCTGAAGGCTTACCTTGAGGCGCTTAAGGCGGGAGCGGTGCAGCGAGCACCAGTGCAGGGCGGGCGCGCAGTCCTGCTGGTGAAGAGCAGAGGAGATGGCGAGCATGCTCTCATACACGCCGCTGTCCACCCACTCCTGGTGTGTTGGGAGTCGAAGGGAAGGGCAGGGCAGGTAGTGGAGAGTGGGGTAAGTGGGCGGGGAACAAGACTTCAGGTTCCTGGAGACCCGAAGTCCTGCTGGTGCAGCGCGGAGGAAATAGCGAGCATGCTCTCATACACGCCGCTGTCCACCCACTCCCGGGATTGGGATGCGATGCAGGGGATAGGGCAGGTAGAGGAGTGGGGAGAGAGGATTGGGGAAGAGCCAAAGTCCTGCTGGCGCAGTGTGGCGCAGTGTGGCGCAGAGGCGATGGTGGCATGCTCTCATACACACCGCTGTCCACCCACTCCTGGTGTGTTGGGAGTGGAGGGGCGGGGCAGTTAGGAGGTGGTGAGACGGAAGGGAAAACATGGGCAAGGGTACGACTCTTGGCACGGGCAGGGTAGGGGTGTGGTGCGGGGAGGAGACGGCGAGCATGATCTCATACACGCCACTGTCCACCCACTCCTGGTGTTCGGAGTGGAGGGGCGGGGCAGGCAGCGGAGTGAGGAAGGGGGGGAGAGTGGCGGGGGGGGGGGGGGGGGGGGGGGGGAGTGCGGGAGGGAGAGAGGAAACGAGGTTTCAGATGTCTGGGAACCCAAAATCCTGCTGATGCTCTCATACACGCCACTGTCCAGCCACTGCTGCTGCCCCACATAGTGCGCGAGGGAGTAGAAGCGAGAAGAAAGCGGGATGGATTGAAAGCCTTGTAATCCACTCAGTTCGCTTCCTCACTCACATCTGGTTCCCAGATGCTCAAATTTTTCGGCTCACCTTCTAATACCTAAATTTCTGGGTCGATATTTGAGGCGCCGACTTCAGGGAAAAAAGAAATGAAAAGAAAAGAAAAGAAAACTGACTCAGCAAGACGGATTCTTTGCTAACCCAAACGTTGTTGCTCCATTCACTCACCTGCAAGTGCAGTTCTTGCGCCAACTTCCCAGCAGTTTCCAGGTGCCCTTCTCTCATCAGGTAATCCACCAGCACTCGCTGCAGCCGCTGCTGCTTCCACTCCTGCACTAACCTCTCCCTCACACCACCCTCCTCCTCCCCTTCCCCTTCCCCATTCCCAGCACCTTCCCCGCTCCTCCCTGCTCCACCTGCTCCGTCTGCTGCTCCTGCTCCTGCTCCTGCTCCTCCCGCCCCTGCGGCTGATGCTCCTGCCAAAACAGCAGCTCCGGTCGCTTCCATATGCCAAGACGCGCTGGTTGCACCAGTAGCACCAGCAGCAGCACCAGCAGCAGCACCAACCGCGCCCCCTGCAGCAGCAGCAACGGCAGCAGTGGTGGTGGCACCACTTTTCCCATTCCTCTCTCCTGATCCCGATCCTGATCCTGATGCAACGAGTGCTGACGTAGCTTGCAGGCGAGTGCGCAGGTGGGTCATGTGCTGCTGCTGCTGGACAAAGGAGACGTTAATCTGGGGGGTAAGGAAGCACAAGGGAGCAGGAAATGAGAGGAGAGACAGAAGTGCGATGGCGAGGCGAGTGCGCAGGTGGGTCATGTGCTGCTGCTGCTGGACAAAGGAGACGTTGATCTGGGGGGTAAAGGAGGTAGGAGAGGGAAGTAAGAAGAGAGGCAGAGCTGAGGAGAACCTCAAATGAGCAGAGGAGCAGAGGCAAAAAGAAAAAGACCTCACCTTGCTCTTCAATTCCTGCTGTTGAATTCCTGCTCAAATGCATGAATTGAAGAGGAACAGAGAAACAGAGGAGCAGAGGAACAGAGGCAGGAAGGAATTGAAGAGCGCCGAGCCGACCTACCTTGCTCTTCAATTCCTGTACGCGATTCAGAAGCCCTTCCACGACTTCCGCTGCCTTCGCTACAGTCACATCCCCTTGCTGGCCTCCTTGCGCTGATACCAACTCCGCCTGCTGCTCTACCGATCGCTGCGCGTCCAATTGACGCACAGCAGCAACCAGCGCTGCAACCTCGCGCTCCGACTCCTTCGCGCCGTGTCGCACGGACGCTTTAATCTCCTCCAGCGGCACGCGGAAAAGCTGCTGCTCGAGCTTTAACACGTCCGCGACTGGATCGTGGTGCCGAGTCGCGGACCCTCCGCCGCCGCCGCCGGCGGTTCCGCTTGCGGTGGCGCCGGCGGTGCGGGTGCGAGCAGACGAAGCGCCGCCCGCGGCGCCGTTTGTAGCCATCATGTGATCTTCGTCCATGAGTTGGAATAGGCCTGACGGATAGCGCGAAGTAAGGAGGTGGGTTTGGCTGTCGAAAAGAAGGAACGGAGAATGCTTGAGCGTAAGGGGCGGATGAGGGAGCTAGATGTCAGAGAGGACAGATGTTGACATGGTATTGGTAAGGAGGCTGGAAGCGTATCCAAATTATTTCTATGGGAGCTCCTCTCCAGTTCCCTAAATCGTTTGTTGTGTTCTCTAATTGCATGACTTTCAGAATCCTGTAGGTATTAGCAATAAACATTCTTTATAAACACGTCCTAGTTATGCCAAATTTCAATTTAGGGTAAGAAACTCTTTTCCTTGTTAGGATTTTGCAATATCATAGGAGTTTTCTTCTAATGAGTTAAGGAAAGGATATTGAGCGGTGTGGATGTCTATCTCTAATCTAAACGCGAGTCACTGCCTGAAAGCAAACCCCGACGCCACGTCTTCGCATCGACCCAACTTCGAGCTTAACTCACAGCCGTCCATTTTTCCAGAAAATCTTCGCGTGGACGTTTCCGCAGAACCGGGTTACTGTCGTGATTTTTATCGCACCCCCGATGCCAATTGCACAGTACACTTCGCATGCGATGTTCTGTGGTTGCAGCGGTCAAAACCAGCGTGCATATCAAAGCCGCCGAGTCCTCGCATTCTGGACTGAACCCCTTTCTGCCCCAAGTCTTCCTCAGTACTGTATCCCGACCTAAGCCTTCAAGGCAGTTTTCCAGGAGATTCCATTTCTTTGTGGGCCCACGAGAGACAATTCCGCAGGATCCCCACCCCACCCCCATTCCGCTCCCCCTGCTCTCCCTCCATCTCTTGCTCTCCCTCCCCCTCTCCCTCCCTCCCACTCTCGCACTCTCGCTATCTCCCAACCGTGTCACACAACCTACCCTACAACCGCCTCCACTCATAGCTACAGTCCCCCCCATCCTTCCAACCGAACTATGTGGTTGGGTTAGTGCTGGTTGTGCGCCATTATACTTGGGTTGGGACTACGCCTCGCTTATTTCCTCTGCTCGCGGTACTGTTGTGATCTGGCCAGCTTGCCGTAATCTAGAGGTATTTCTTAGTGTTTGCGAGCTGCGGCGAGAGTGTTATTTCCGCCAGCGATATACTTACCCTGGTCGTACGAGGGAAGCGTGATTGCAAAGATTGCGCTGGAGCGGGAATTGCTGGCGTTCTTAATCGCTCCTCGTGGTCTGAAGAGCTTCATGGAGAGACCAGAAGCAGATGGTCGACCAGAAAAGCGCCTAAAATTAGGCGATCCATACCATGACGATGTAAGCGTTTCCGAGCTCCCAATAATCTGCTTGTGTCATGGCCTTGTATGGCACTACTGAATCTGTTACTCTTTTTAACGCATCTGTTTTCAGATACATGCTGGACCGAGTTCTCGAGATGGTGTCTACTACGCTGCGGCCATGCCTTCATTCGTTTCAAGGTTGCTTCCACCGTCATCGCTTCATTTAGCACCTCTAGTGCCCACTGCGTCTGCCGCGCTTCCGCTTCCACCTCCGACAGCTTCTGGAAATTTCATCACGCCAAGCAGTCATGCGGTCTCACCTCCCTGGAGACCAGACGACAAGGACGGTCATTACGTCTTTGAGCTTGGGGAAAATCTGACTCCCAGATGTGAGATTTTCGCCATTTTGGTTTCTTTTTTTTGTTCCCATATCCCTGTGGCCTGGCTAACATCGTTTGTCCACTTGTGTTGCTACATACAACAGATAAAATTCTGAGCAAACTCGGAGAAGGTACTTATTTGCGCGTTTGTTTTTAACTCGCTTTTATCATTTGGCGCGTCCGTGAGCCATTGTTACTGTTGCGTCTCCCTTCACCAGGGACTTTCGGAAGAGTTTTGGAATGCTGGGATCGCCAAATGCAGCAGTATGTCGCAATCAAGGTGATAAGGAATGTACAGAAATATCGCGATGCAGCAATGATCGAGATTGATGTGTTGACAACTCTTGCAAAGCATGACAAGTTTGGTCAAAGGTATGCATTCGTTGCAAATAGTCGACTTGCGTGCATTATTGTTGATGGTTAATGGCTTACATTTTGGATCGTGTTTGCAGGGGCTGTGTGGAGCTGAAGGGCTGGTTCGACTACAGAGATCATGTCTGCATAGTATGTTACCATCGGTTCATTCGCTTCGCTGTGTCAGTTCAATGTCGCAAGATTGCTCAGTATTCGTCCTTGGTTGTCATTTCAATGCCTCTATTGATCAGGTGTTTGAGAAGCTCGGCCCAAGTCTGTACGATTTTTTGAGAAAGAACAGTTATCGGCCTTTTTCAGTGGACGTGGCGAGGGAATTTTCTAGGCAATTGCTGGAGTCAGTTGCGTGTGAGTCTTATTGTCAGGAAGTGCGTTTTTTTTTTTTTTTTTTTTTTTTTTTTTTTTTTTTTTTTTTTTTGTCTTAAGCGCTTCCTTGCCGTTGTAGCGCTTTTTATTTCGCGACGCTTCTGTGTCCTTATTTCGTTACGCCTTCCTCCTTGTTCCTATGCATTTCCGTTACTCCATGTTTTTCTGTATCCGTTTTTGCCTACCAACTCCACCGACTTTCCTGTTTCCGTCCCCCCATTTTAAAACCTTTTTTCTCAGTTATGCATGAGCTAACGCTGATTCACACGGATTTGAAGCCTGAAAACATTTTGTTGGTTTCGTCAGAGTACGAGAAGGTTCCCGATTACAGGGTAAACTTTTGATTTTTGTACAATCCATCATTCCCTAGGAACTGCCTGTTTTCATGCTGACCGAGCGTTCTCTTCCACCTTTGCAGAGCGCAACCCAGCCAAGCTCTCAAAGTCGGCACCACATGAGAAGAGTACCTGTCTCCAGTGAGATCAGGGTCATTGATTTCGGAAGTGCAACCTTCGATTCACACTACCATTGTTCCATTGTTTCCACTCGGCATTACAGAGCCCCAGAAGTGATTCTCGGTAAGAGTGTAGGTTTAGATTTGCACCCCCCGAGTCTTCTTTTACTCTTGAAACTTGTTAAATCACACGGTTTGTATGACCTTCAGGGACTGGGTGGTCATATCCATGCGACATCTGGAGTGCAGGTTGCATCATTGTCGAGCTTGTCACGGTAAGCTTTCCCCTATGTTCACTGTAGCGTTAATGCATGCCTTGGCTTCCTTATGGCTCATCACATCGATTTCATTCTCCTGTCTCTCTGTAATCAGGGGGAGGCATTGTTTCAAACGCATGAGAACCTTGAGCACCTTGCCATAATGGAAAGACTGCTGGGTCCAATTTCCCCGCACATCATCAAGAAGGCTGAGTGAGTCGATGTTGGCAAGTTTTTCCGCCCCCCTATATCTTGGAATTGCTAGGGACCATCCGTTGACCCTTATCTCTATGGTCATTTTCTTGAGCAGCCGCCGAGCTGAGAAATACTTCAGGAATGGAAGAGAACTCAATTGGCCAGAGGGTGCTGCTTCACGCGAAAGCATTCGGGCAGTTCGAAAGCTCCCCCGACTTCGAGTAGGTTTTTCCATTCTGTAGTTATTGAGCACATCCCTGCATCTCCAACCTCGACTCCCCCCTTTTCCCCTCCAACTGGTGTTTTTTTTTAGAGCCTTTTCCAAGAAGTTGCTAAGTCTTTTCTACTTTTCGACATTTTGCAGGATCTAATTATGCAATGTGTGGAGCATTCGGCCGGCACACTCATTGACCTTCTTTACTCGCTTTTGAAGTTTGACCCTGCACAAAGGCTCACAGCTCGAGAGGCTTTGAAGCACCCGTTTTTTCGGGAGCCAAGCCGCTGCTTGCGATAAGAACTAAAAGCAGAGCATTCCTTGCGCAGTTCAGAGGGAATGCATAAAGTTTCTGAAAAGGCATAGTGTCCACAACGGGATGCTATTAGGTTGTAGTAATAGATGCACAACCTGGCAGGTGTGGCTAAAATATGCCCAGGTGCTGTGCTGCCGTAGGTAGGCTGGCTGGAATCGGCAGGAAATGTATTTTCCTATCCGAATTTGTAGATAGTGTATGCATTGCAATGGAAAAATATGCCCCAGGTGAATTTTTAATACCTGTACATCATTACAAATCCCCGAATATGCGCACGGGTTTACTAGTGCATACAGAGCAATCTTTAAGAGCAACCAATCTAATGGGTTTACAGCAAAATAGGAAGACACAAGAGTGGGACAATAACAATACCAAGCTAGTTACTCCATAAGATCATGCTACATGTCACGTGGGGCTTCATCGACGCGGTTTAGTGCTGCAAGAAAAGAAGAGCAGGAAGAATCAGACACACTGCCAGGTGCCAGAAAGAACAAGTCACATGCAGCAATAACATCCCCACACATCGCATGTCATTCATTTCTAATACTTACAGCTGCTGCTTCAGTTGCTGCTGGTGCTGCCTCTTGAGCAGGCTCGGCCTTCTTCCCCCCTGAGAAAGCCCGATAAGCGCCATAGAAAACAAGGCCCCAACCTCCTAGCGAAACAAACACGAACTGCACATTGGCAGAAAAGAAAGAAAGAATGTAGTGAGCAGGCCAAGCATAATTCGTCAAGAAATAGAAAGGAATAGATGCGGGACGACGTTGACATAAAACAAGAGGGAAGCAGGGTGAATTCGTGTGCAGAGACATCGGATGAGAGTAAACGTACGTGCTCCTCCTTCCATCTCCCCGGATTGAGTGGGTCTTCCCAAATGTTCACCCTCTTGGGGCCATGGTGATCTGAGTGGTATGCAACAGGTAATTCACACCAGCAGTATAGACAAGAGGAGTGGCGAATGGACAATAACTGAGCATGAGATAAAATGGCAAGTGCGACCAAGCTAGCAGAAACAGAGGTTCCTGCCTGGCTCGCTTACCGACATAACCGGACTCAATCCGCCGTACCCTAACGACAACACCCTTCAGTCCTAGTCACTTCACAGATGATGCATAGGCTTCAGAAAGAAGAATAAGAAGAGAATATAAAAAAATCGCCTAAAGGAGAAGCAAACGCTTCGACAACGTCGAAGCTTTCGGAATGCAGTACTACAAAACTCGCGTTTCCCCAGACGTAATCTGCCTCTCAAAGAAACTAGTCTCGTCGACGAAGAAACGAGTAGATCAACGGTCAAATACGGTCAGGGGAGGCACGCAAATGGCAGAGGGGACGAGTTGAGGGCTCCAAGCCACGCGAACGACTCATGTACATGCTGGTGCTAAGCTAGTGACGTATGTGCATGGTGGCACCGTGAAACGACTCGTGTCCGTGCTGGTACCAAGCTGGTATGTAGCACGCTGGTCGATGTCTCCTGATCTCTTTATTTTTCCTTTTTTTTTTACAAGATGACCCAGCAAGGCCGCAAAACTGGTGAGGCCACCATGGGGGAAAACATCAACCAAGGATGCGCGAGAGGATCGAGTCCAGCAGCCTAGGCGAAGGCAACAGTACCTGCGGCAAAGCCCCTGGTCTGCAGGCGGATGCTTGCGGGAAGCGGAGGCGCAACCGACAGGCGGAGGCGCTGCGCGGCGGAACGGGCGAGAGCGTGCGCCAT